TGAGTAACACAGTGAGTCTGTTTCAGATGAGGCTCTATTTATTTTTTCCATGTAGCTTGAAAACGGCAATACACAAAGGAATTTGACCTAAGGAATTCTCTCATTCAATATGTTCTTTGCTCTAATAGGTTCTACCAATGATGGTTTTATGCAATAAAGTTATCGCACTGATCGATTAAGAAAAATATGGCAATTAAAAGAGCCAGTGTGACTGGTTGGTAAGAAGCTGAAATTTAAAGAAGGCTTTTCAGTGAATGGATCAGAATCAGCCACATCCCAATATAGCAATGGTTTTGCATGAGTAAGCACAGGGAGGAAAGTGCCAAGTGTTAGAGGTGATGAGACAGCATCTAGCAGCGAAATGTTGTGCTGCAGTTCCAGTATATGTTGCAACTTTAGTAAGAGTGTGGGGTTTACTGAAGCTGCCATTACAGGGTCAGTATAAACCACTCCTGAGAATTCGTAACTCTCCTACAGGCAATGTGCCATTCTTGGATGCAACAGTGAGGAACACATGGGGGCTTGCAGCCCGCTTTTAAGTGCAGTGTCTCCTAGGTACATGGAAAATGTCCCGTAGCTCTTAACAACGTGAAGATTTTAGTACACATTTTGCACATTCAGGAAGATTAGTCCCTTGAGCTAGTGCAATACGCCCACTATTTTTTAATTTTTCACTGGTTGTAAAAAAAAAAAGGAGGTTACAATTGTTAGTAACTAGCATTCCTTCCTGTACCAGAAGCAACAACACGTTCTCAGCAACTTCCTCAGGAATTCTCACTCCTCTTTGGCCATTTGTTATCAGTTCTACCAGTGATGATCATTAGTGCATGGAGTATGATAAACTCATTACCAAAATCTACAAAGCAGGGCAAAATGCTGCATTTCCTGGCATGCGTTCCCATTAAATAAAAATACTTAGATTGTCAGTGATTTAGAACAACTGCCTGACAGACCTAGCTGAAATCTGGAATTTCCGTTTACAAGAAGAATCAGTAACCATGTAAAAATTATGGAGCCAGACCCAAAGTCAGCCTATCCCAGCATCCAGTCAGCAGCAGCAGTAGCAAACTTCAAGGCAGAACACAAAAATGGGGCACATGGAGATTACATCTAGACGGGTGGGTTTAAAGGCACTGAAGCATGTACATTCCAGTAATTTGTCTAAATTTATTTGAACCTCCTCATACTTCTGCCCTCCTCATCTCCCAGTATTGAAAGTTACTTATGCTTTGGGAAAAAAGTATGGTTTGTTTTAAAATTGAAACCTGAGCATTTCCATGACAGTCTCCAAGTTTTTGAACTCTGAGAAATAGTATGTAATCACTCCTTATTCAACCTTATCATGGATGTCTAAATTTTTATAACATCCAAGTTATTCCTCTTCAATGCTGAAGAGGAAAGATTTCACCTGTCCTCACGTGGAAGCTAGTCCACACTAAAGGGAAACTCTGTCTTTCAGTGTGTTCTAGTTCCAATGGGACTTTACTGACCTGGGGGGTCAAGACTACATGCAAGATAAAGACATGAGAAGGTCATGTATTAGACAAAGATTTACCATGGTTTTATTCTGTCCTCATTCCTTATCACCGTAACTCCCAGTACATTATTTCTTTTATGTCTGTTACAGAAAATTGAACTACTATGTTCAGATAATTAAATTACGAGTAGTGGTGCCAGAATTTCTCTCCTTTTTTATAATAGCCTATTTAAAGTCCATCACTAGGTAAGTATAGTTGAGACCTTTTTTTCATCATGTATAATGTTTTGCATTAACACTGAATTTCATCTCCCATTTTATTGACCAACCACTGTAAGAAAGAATTAATTTTGCCACTTGATGTTTACAGTGTAAAACCTCTATAGGAGCAGGTCATTTATATTTTCTTTTTATGTAGGAAAAATAAGTACACATTTCAGGAGATTATTTACCTCATTCTAAGGTAGATATTCAAAATAAATCAAATAATCATAATCTTTTTCTCTTTTTTGAGCATAAAGGAAGCCTAGAAGTAAAATATTTCCATAGAAAGTAAATAAAGATAAGTAAGATAGATCATTACCCTCAAAATAGCAAATATCTAAGAAATAGGAGTCTTAGCTAGTAGTACTCCCTCCAAAATCAAAGAAAAAGATAGTCACTGCCCACAGCAATTCTCCTCACCTTTCCTGACACTTGTTTTCAGATAGGATGACTCTCTTAGAGAAGCTTCTCTCTTTTCACTGACTACAGAGGGAACTGGTAAGACTGAGAGGGCATAATTTTTAGAAGGCTAAATTTAGATGAGATTACTCCATTGTTGGTACTATGAGATCCTTCTGAACTGCTAGAACTTAGTCACAGATTTAAGAAGGTGCTAACAGGTCTTGATCATGCGGAACCGCGCCAACTACTGCAGCTATCATTCCCAAGTTATGTGGCATGGTCACAACTGCATGCCATCTTCCATCTGTACAGACATGCACTTCCATCCTGCACTTCTTCTAGATCAGTTCTGCACAGGTCTTGGGACAGTGGTGCTTATCTTTCAATTAATCAACCTCATCATTTAGTCCACATTCAGTGCTCTGCCTTTTAAATTGTAATTAATGCTTCCCAACCATATAAAATAAGGTATTCTTTTCTTCTAATTATATCCTGAAGTGAAAGCTTCAGTAAACACTGGAGTTATTAATGGAACATAAAATATCAGGAAGAACATTTGTGATTGAAAGAAACATTTCAATATTCATTAATCAAAATGCCAGTCGTCTTTTTGTTGAACCAAACACAAATGTTTTGGTTTGGTTTCACTGGACATACCTCGGCATCTTACACAATGTTGTTTTATGATAACCACAATTCAAGACTATTCCATCCTTAGCCTTCAACTTGACTAAAGAAATGTCAATTATTTATAGAAGATATATTTACCAAGGGACACCAGCGAGTCAGAATTGTGGGCACATGGTGGAGAACTGACCCAAACAGAAGCATTTCAACATGATTTGAGAAACTAGAATATGACAGCTTCTCAACTAAGATTAAATAACCTATCTAACTTTTTCAATACAATATGTACACAAAGATCAGAAAAATTGAAACTTCCATGGAGTTTTCTTTTTCTTCAAAAAAAATCCCACTGGTTTTCTTTTAAGAAACTGGGACAAAAAAAAAATCCCAGGGAGATCTATTACTGGATGAAAATTCCATTACTTAAAACAACTCTTACTTGTCTTCAACTATTCATCCAGAACTATGTCAGTTATGTAAATAATTACTAACAATGCTTGTAACACTCACTAAATGGTACATATTTCTTGATGATACAAGCAGTGAGTTATTTGTCTTGATATTTGTAATATCCTAAGAAAAGTACTATGACATAGCTATTCAAATCTATTACTGAAAATTATATAAACGAAATTTAGTTTGCACTTCTAAAAAAATTTATGCACAGGTCTGAAAACACATTCCACTGTATGTAATGACAGAGAAAAAATCCTGTTTCTTATAAACAAAAGATAGGTACCAATGCAATGTATTACTCAGTACCAAGCTAGAAGAGTAACGGTACTTTAAAATGAAGTTCTGTGAGAAAGTCATGAATCTTCCTTGAAATAGAGCTACATTTTGTAAACAATTCTGACACTGTGGACCAGAACTGTAAAAATATTTAGATACCTAAAAATGCAAATAGGCACCACAAGGTATTTTCATGTTCACTTTAGACAGTTAGCTCCCTCAAATACAAACACAGATGATTGATTGGTGTTGCCATAATCCATCTGTTACGAAATGAGAGGTGATAGGAAAAATAAGCTCCTTGCTTATATTATTAAAGAATGTTTACCATTTTATAGCAAGTAAAGCAATGCTAACAATAGCAATTAGGAACATTGCTGCTTTTGGTGATCCTACCAAATGCCAAATAAGTCATCACTTGCTCAAATACCTTTACTAATCTGGACCTCTCTGCTGTAACTAATTCCAAAAAATGAGAATAACATATGCTCTAAAATTATCATGTCATTTGTCTTAGAGTGCAAAAGTGGAGTTAAGCCAATGGCCTGTAGTGTTACTGTAAGCAAAAGAAAGGAAGAAATGACAATAAGAAAAAAAAAATGCTTGTAGAAATCTCAGAAGGTGAGCAACTGAATGCATGTCACAAATTTGGACTAAGTTGCTATTTATTTTCAAGACAATGCAGAGATGTAAGAAATAAAAGCTTACATAAATCAAACCCGAGCTGCTCTCTTCATGTTGGTTGTTACTGCAAGTTGTCAGGGCACAGTTCTTTTCACTTGCAGATAACTCTCGGAGATGTTTACAAAAGTGGAATTTGACAAAATGAAGAAAGCTTTTACATTCTGACCCACTCTGATATTCACAGTACCACATAAATATGTTTAATCTGCATAAAAACACAATTAACTGTAACTGTGCTTGGGCAAGCCTCAATGAGTTTTTTAAAAGAGGCTATAATGACTACCCCTTAGTTAGAGCTCAGCATATTTATTATCCTAATAAACTGAGACCAGATTTGTCATACCTTACCTATAACCATCTAAAAATTAGCTACCTAATCTATTTTATACTAGCCTTTCTTTATCATTATCATTGACGGAGAGATTGGGACATCACAAGTTATTCATCCCTACCAAGAACAATACCTATGTGTAATAAATAACCCTTTAAACGAATCTTGCTTTCAACTGTCGAGACAGGGAGAGTAGGCAACTACCTTAGACATGATGCCTAATGTTTAGATGGAGTCATTTATATCAGATATGGTAGATCGATCGCTGCCACTTTAACAACATATATATATACAATTTTGTGTGTATACAACAAAAAAAGCCAAGATTAGGTGGGTAAATCTGCATAACTTCCCCATATTTATCAGAGTAAACATCAAGACAGATTAAAAAGGCCAGAAGGTTAAGTACATCATGGTTGTTTCCTCACTTCGCACACCTTGTTTGCTCTGCAGTTTATGAAACAGGGATACAGAGACACTCACAGATTGATAGATCTTGATAAGATGACAGACACAGTCAGAAGGATGCACCCACAGGGACCGATTTCAAACTGAAAAAGAAAAGGACTGTTTTTATTATGCTTGTTCTGTACATTTTTGACCCATTCCTAAAAAAATGCAAATCAAACTGGAAGTAGAAAGAATTGTTCTCATTTGTCCTAAAACTGAATTTATTGCTCTGTTTGTTAAAATGCAAGACATGTCCATATAGTTTTTGAAGCAATGTTCAGAAGATATCATAGAAGACCGATAAACACCAAAAGACTGGCAGCTGAACTATAACAGGTTTAGTAACTTCTCTACACACAGTACCTGGTGAATATTCTGCTGAAGAAATACAATCAGATCTTCATATCTTGTGGTACTATGTAGTATTAGCTGGGAAGAAATGTAAGAAGAAAAAACAGTAACTGAAACAGTAACAACCCATTTTTATAACCTGAAAGCTGAACTAAAGTAGCCAAAACTTTAAATCTGACTGGAAAGATTTGAACTAACAAAATGGAATAAAGATCTAATGAAATCTACCTCTTACTGTTGTTACTTGCTGTAATAGCGCATCTCAGCACTTCTGAATTTTTAAGTACTGCTTCTTGTTGGTTTTAAGTTTTTTGAACAGTTTGATTCAATTTTAACCACTGTTTATGCAATGAAAAACAACTCCTAGAACAAACATAGAATACTGAGCTTTTGAAGATATAGAATGGGCAAGTAGCTCAAGAATTTGTACCTATGTGGTGAGCCTTGTATAGTAGGCATATATCAGAGCACTTATCCTACTCAGAGAACACTCCCGTGAATACTCCTAATTAACATGAAGTTCAGGATACTTCAATATTCTTTGTCTATTTTTCCACCTTCAGATTTTGACAGAAATGATGGTCTTGTGGATACTGTGGTGAGGAAAGTTGAAGCAGTCTGGATTATACTTCTTTCCATCACATTTTCACTGTGGCTATGTCTACATGACTTTTGATAAGTAGTACTTCGAGGCAGAATAATGGTGTTAGTTGCACACTGAAATAGCCAGCAGCTCAGAATTATGGTAATGTATTAATAAATAATCTGTCTCTTGGAAGAGCATATTATAGCCAAGGTTTTCTGCTGTATTCACCCTATTTATACAGGTTTTCACTTCCAGTTGTTCCAAAACTGTCTGGTTCTGAAAAGTTGTTGACACATCCATTCCTTTATTTAGGAGGCCAGTAATATTTCCTTAAACCACTAAAGTCTGGCTAATGGCATCACTGTCTGCACAGCCATTTGAGAGCTTCAGATGGAAATAAAGGCATAACTGGAAAGTATTTTGCCATTTGGAGCTTCTGGAGGAAAAAAAAAAGGGCAAAGAATTCTGTGTAAGACAGGAAGAAAATACTGCCTTTTGATGCTCACAGCCATGCTGGTCAACTTGAAAGGATTCATGTTCATTTTTACTGCATATCAATAAAAGTAGGCAGAGTTTATAAGCCTGAAAGGTAAATGGAACAAAAAGGACTTCAGAGACCCCAACCGCCCACAGACACTGGGACAACTCAGAGCCAGACGGACTACAGGATTTTGTTACTTCCTATTGGTTTTTGGATCACAACTAACTAATTTGACGTAAAAGATTTTAAAACACTAGGAGAGCAATGAAAATCAGACTCACTGTTCTAAAATAAGAAAAGCTAGAAAGATAATATAAGGAGAATGTTACTGTGAGTTACACAGAGCCTTACAGTTTCTAAGATTCCATCTGCCTTGTATTTTCCTATGGGAGTGAACTGCTGTCTTCCTGATGGCCTGAGGAGGATATTCACACAAAACCAAAGCTCATGTTAAAAGGAACAAAATGGCATTCAAGAGAAATCAACATGTAATATGAACTGAATGATGAGCCAAAGATTTTCTATTATTATTTTTAACCACTTTTTATATAAAGGACCTCTTGCATAATAAGTTCATCTTACATATTAAACAAACTCTCATCAGTGAAGCATATACTGTAGCTGTGCTGTGCTCTCTCAGTCTATTTAATATAAATTATAAGTTTCTCTATACAGAAAAAGGATAAATAAAGGTTTAATATGTTAATGACAGTTTTTATTAGAAAAGAGTATTAAAGCAATGACATTAAAACAAGCAGAAGAACATATGTACAATATCATCACAGGGGAAGCATTTTATAGATGTAAAATACGTAAAATGTAATTTGAAATGTCTTTGAATTTGCTGCTTCTACTTCCCATTTGAAGAAGGACTTCTGTGCTCAAGAGCTTTTCTGATATTTTTCAGCTACCTTAGTTGATCTAATAAAAAAATGACCTATTCTCACAAAACCTGGCTCACTTAAAACTATCATGTAGGATCCAGTACAGCCAAAGCTAGTGATCGAAAAGCTAGATGTCTCGTGTACAAGCAGCCTAATTGCATAGCATAAACGAAGTAACTAGTAGGCAGCTACAGCAAAGGGAAATTAATCCCAGCCATAATAGAATATCCTGCAATACAAAATTGTTGGAGTAAAATTCTGCATTTGGAAGAATAACTCTTCATAAGGGTTTTGGAGGAATCTTAGCCTCAATGAAATCCATACAACCTCTCACAGCAATTTCAAAGAATATGACTATTCTGTCCCAGCTACTGGGATAGCAGAAATGGCATTTTGCATGTCTCCCTAACTCATTTTCCACTGCATAAATACATCTTACAACACTTTCATTTTGTAAATTATGTACATATATGACAGACACAAGTATAGGAGCATTGTACAATAACTAAAACTGCTTCTCCTACTTACAGTGCCACAATTGCTTTTTCATTGCCTCCTGCACGCCACAATATGTCTGCAATAGCCATGGTGAGGCATTTGGTCCTGTGAACTTCTGAAGGTTGAAGACAACTGCAGTCCAGGAAATGCAAGAAACAGACAAGTACCAAAATGTGTACTGGGAAGCTTACTCATTAGAGGGCAAACTGCCCCAATTACAGTATACACAGATTCACAGCAGGTTTGTAGCTAAAAGAACAAAAGCATTTTTTTAGAGACTATCTAGGTACTGTAATGACTAATACTGAGGCTCCAGCAAGCTGCCTCATAAAATTATCATTTAGGTATCTCGGTTTCTTCTATAGTGAAGAAAGAGACAACTTGGATGACCAACTCAAAAAAATCCTGTGAGCTGAACAGGGAGCTAGTACTGTTATTAAGAACACATGCCAAGTATAAAGGTACAGTTGAATCCAACCTTTCTCTGAGGCTTAGGCAGCTGAATGAAATTCCATGAGAGCACTCACTGTGCACTCAGTGTGAAGAGTTCTCGGCATTGGACCAAACAGGTGCTAGGAGGATGTGGTGTTGCTATTCAGCACCTAAAGGGCTCTGAAGAAGGAGATGCAACTGAAGTCGCCAGTGGCATATGGGCTTTCTGGAACCATTCTTTGAGGTGAACCACCTCAAATCTCATTTTAGGCATTTAAGAAGGTCCCTTGGATCTTACTGAAGATAATTAGACCTAGTGAATAGAGCTGTAACTAGAACAACTTCCTCTTTAGATTGCTAGTAAAACAAACTGGGCACAGTGGGTAGGTGTCTTCTGAAGTCAAGAAAAACAGAAATTTGAGGGAAGTTAATTCACATAGGTCAAGTGCTAGCAGCCGTGTGTTGCATTTAGAGGATCTGGATGAGCTTATGTTGCTCATAATGATAGTTAGACTGCTGTTATGGGTACTTAAGCTAAGCAATTGTAAGCTTACTAGCCTATGTCTGTATGTTCTATAACAATACCCTTGCAATACAGGTGAATCTAAGAGATGAAATGTACAATCTCTACTTCTAGGAGATTAATACTAAAGACAGTGTCTGATTTATAAGGAACGATTAAAAAAAAACTATTATTATTATTATTAAGAGCAATGGACCAAAATCAAGAGAAGACTAAGTTAAGTTATGATAAACAACAGGAACAGACTATACACAGATCTATAATCATACCCTGAAAACTACTCTTCTAAAAGAAGTAGTGGATGCTCTTTCAGAATACGTATTTATACCTGGTTGCAAAAAAAACAGGTAAATGTACTTTAGGGAGCAATACTATATTGGCAAATAATGGACAAGAGAAGCTAATTAATCTTTGTATCTGTAACAAAACTGGTTTAATATTCTGTTAGAGTATTATTGTATACATTAAATATGATTTTTAGTTTATAAAGGCCTTCATATTTAATTTCTTTCTAAAGTTTTTATTTCTTAACTCTTGCCAACAAATGTACACCATTATGTTCTTACCTACTACTAAATTTTATCTTAAGTACAATCTGCAATAAGCACTATGCTTGCATTTTTTTAATAAGGTATGCCCCAAAGTGATGACCTAAAACGTTATGGTAACTGACCCACTATCGGTCTATGGAGTCCTTATTAAGGTCCTTATATGGAGTCTATTAAGGTCCTTAAATACCTTCACTGAGATGGTTGGCTTGGAACTTACACAATGATGTGCAAAACTACAGAATGTTTACAGTAATCTATTGATCCCAAACATGTAAGCAATGCTGTCAACACATTTCCTATAAACTGTGGTTTGTGAAGTCTTCTAATACCTCCTGTTATTCTAACTTCCATGATATGAATGGAGATATAGAGGACCAGGAGGCCAAAAGTCAAATAATGGAAAACTGGCAGATTTAAGAGTAAAACCCAACATCCATGAGCCTGAAGAAGTGGACAACAGATTCATGCCTCTGGGAACCACAGAATCTTGTGGCTTCAAGAACTACAGTCTTTGAAATTCAGATATTATCAGTCTTAGAGTGTTACCAGCATGGGAGATGGCATCAAAACCTGTTCCCAGCATTTGAGTAAAAGATCTAATAATTCAAAAGACTAAACAAAAAACACCAAATATCAAAAAATTAAACAGACTTTCAAGTTCAGTGTCGTCCTTGAATATAATGTTCATTTAGACAATGTTTCCCTCCTGAAGGATGTGAGATATGGGAAATAATTGGTGAGAGCTTTCAAGTAAAAAAAACATAATCACAACTTCCTATCTCTGCCTGTGTTCTAATACAGACACTCAGAAATTTATGGGAACAGCAATTAATTAATGTGTCTGAGAGATGCAGCAAAGTAAGGAGACATGATAATTATTTCTTGAACACTGAAGAAGCCTGAAGTCAAACACTTATTGTGAAGTGGCTAATAATTTGAAAATTCAGGTTAGAATTAGAAAGGAATATTACTCCTCTCATTTCAAGCTCTGAGACTTCCCTTTCTTTATGCCTGACTAAGAATTTCTGCCCATGGAAAAGACATCATGTGAAAAACATGTTTATCTCATGAATAAAACAGTCCATCTCCATCTTGCTATTCATTTTTAGGAGCCTGGAGACTTTTAGTATTTCTGTGCATAAACACAAAAATCTCACCTACTAACCTGAAATTCCTTGGAGACTTTCTGCATACTTCAGCAGCATTCTTCATATACATATATGTGTGAAAAAAAAATCTTTTAAAACCATGTGGATAATAGGAGGGGAAAAATAGGAGGCAAATATCACCAAGTAAAGAGGATAGGTTGTGGCTGGCATGAGCTGGGGCACTTACAGTTTAAACAGTCTGGCCTCAATCCACTTATTTGGGTGCCACATAATTTTATGACATTTGCGATCAATGAACCATTTTGAAAGAGGAAAAGGATAACATCTCTATTTTTACTAAGGATGACCTGAGACTCAAAGGGACCATGGAGCAGATGATCAAAGGTTGTCCTCCAGGCTGAAACAAATTCTTGGTTTTCACAACCAGAAATAATTCTTCAGTGAATTCTGTAGAGATTTCTGATCATAAAATCTATTTATGTACTGATTTTCTCGCATAGAACTTTCAGAGTTTTTTCTTTTATGTGGACAAGAGCCTCATTCTCCCTTGAAAAGTCTACTCTGATTATAATCTAAATTAGAATAATAAAGTTTTGCTAACCAATTTTTGCACTTTTAAAAAGTGTGCTCTGAACAGAAGGCTCTTGATATGAATTACAGACAGATGTGATGTACTGAAAGAACTGAAGAAAAAAACCTAAACTGCATCATGTTGTAGAATTAACTTGACATTACACTCTGCTCATGTATTATACCGCTGACCCTATCTCTTTATTAGTTCATGTTAATTGCCTTTAAGTGACTTTCAAGTGATAAATTCATAGCATCTTATTTATTTGGCCTTTGTCTTAGGGTCCGCAAGCAATCAGTGACAATAGTAACTAGCAACACCAATAGTAGTAGTAATGGTAAAACTTTCAGTATTGTATTTAGACTCTAAGCCTGGTCTTCAATATTTCTAACAGCTTATGACGTGTCTGATACCAGGACTGCCTACCCTCTAGTTCTGCTGGACTTGGGTACCTGTGTGGACCCCCTAGGGCTTGGTAATCCTTTGGTTAACTGCCACCTCCCATCCTGGGTGCTGAAGACAAATAATGATTTTCTACATTGTTTCTTTCCATTATTGATGAAAACAGCCCAAACAATGAATTTACACTAAGTGCCAAGTCAGACAAAACTAAGGAAAATCAACAGAGACCCTGTCACTTTCCTAAACGGTTCCAAGCAGAAAACTATTATTTAAGGCCAAGTTTTTATACATTATGAGCATTTTTACATTGTAAAGTAATGAAGTTCAGGAGAAACCTCAGCATGAAAACTTTTCTTCTGACTAAATTGGTGTCAGTGTATCATCAACAAAAAACACAAGGTGGTAAACCAGTAAAATACTGTTATCCCTATTCAACAAACTGTACCTATAAAGCACAGGAAAGCTTTGTGACATTTTTCTTTTGTAATGGACTTAATTTCTTACTGAAAACAAAAGGCAAATACAAGCCTGGTAATAAAGTAATTTTTTTAGACATTATCTTCCAGCATTTCACTGAGTAAGCTCTGTTCCTTCAGTAAAGTGACAAGTACGTTAATATTATAGCGGTCCAAGCAGTTTTCTGACACTAGCAATACTTAACCATATTCCTTTAAAGTAATTAGAAAATACACATGCAGAATTTTGATTCAAATTCTATTATGGAGTTTAACTGTGAAAGGTCAAACATAGTGTCAAGAAAAAGAAAAATTATAGCTATAACGTTAATTTTTCACCATCCCCGAGATTCGTTGTGTCTAAAATTGCATGAATTTCATGGTCTTTCCAACCTTGATTACATTTTCTTAAATCATATCTCCATGGGATCTGAAGGTTAAATAATCCTCACTGGCCTCACTTCAAGCTGTCGGATTTTTTAGAGGTTCTTGGGTTAATCACAAGCAAGTAATTGCACAAATAAAACAACAGCCTCTAAATTCCTACAGTTGAAAGGGAAGTAAATAAAGTAAATCATATGCTACTTTCTTTCTCTCACAGAGACAAAGAGAAGTTCAATAAGTTCAAACTCAAAAGGCTCCTGAGTGGCTGCAGCAGAGAAACAAATTTTTTACTTCTGTATGGAAAATATTTCTGATGTCAATTGCTGACTTACCGAGTGTCTTTATTCGTGTTACTGTCTGCAAAGATAAGCTGCTGTAGGACACAAGCTTGAACTGCAGCCAGTACTCCACATGGGCCACCCTGAGGAGAATAATGGGACACTCCATGAGCAAAACAATTTTCACTGTTTGATGTTGGTGAAAACTTTTGCAAGCCATGTGCTTCCATTCAAGCTTAAGCCATTCTTTCACCTCTCTCTTTCCATCCATGACTTTGTAGTGCTCTCTGTTGCTCTGGGTTTTTTTGCAAGCCAGTGAAAATAAGCGTTACTAACTGGTATTGTGTTTCCCACCTATTTTTCCTGAAAATGCCTAGACATCTGTAAATATCAACGGAAAGTTTTCTTAAAATCATGCAAAGAAATGAAAGATCTCCTGACTTCTACTGAGCCACAGTCTGCCTTAACTTCTAGGAAGAAATCCAATCTGACTTCTTCCCAAGTGTGAAAGTAAGCCTTGCTCTTTTACCTCCTATAAGCACCATGCCTCCCCTCAAGTTCCCACTTACATCATTAAACAAAGATTTCAGTTTTAGTATACCCCTCTGCACCAGGCAGCTATCTCACTGGGGAAGAGAAAGAAAATGAAGAAAGTTTGAACCTTTCAAATGATTAATGTTGGGGAAAAATCACAATAACAAAAAATACCATATTAACTTCAAATTTTACAGAAAATATATTTATAGCTGTTTTGAAAGACTGTGGGATAGGGTAGCAATGTATTTCCTTCTCCTTGCTTATTCCCTGCCATCTAGCCGACCTGACCCCATTGCATGACCAAGACCTCTTCCTGTGGGTTAACTATATGGCAGAGACAGCTGTGCCAGTCATCCTGAGATGCAAATGGTATGCCCTCTTCTTGCCTAGAAAACTTCATCCAGCGTCACTCTTCTTCCTTTATCACTCAGTTCTCACCCAGATGCCTCATATCATATTATGTACTCTAGTAGTTTACCGAGGAGACAGAGAAAAGCCATCATTTGTCTGGAACATCTATGCGTGAATGGAGCAGGCTATGCAGGACATAAGACCAACATCACAGATACCACAATACCACACATCACATTGGTAGTACTGGGAATTACTGCAGCTTAACATTCAGCATATTAAATCACACAGACGCTGTCCCATGTGTCCGTCACCACATGCTGCCATTCTCAGAAACGGGTTTATTCTTAACATGAGGAAGTTCATTTCTTTAATACAGGTCCTCCCTAAACCAACATCTCATATAGGCTGACATATCAGTGCTAGCTTTGTCTACTGAAGTAGAATAGGAAAAACAATGAGGGTAAAAAAGTATGGACCACCCAGTAGGTTTTCTGGAGAGTCTGTGTTCTGATTTCAACTCATGCCAAAGTCTATGCTGTTGTTACCCTCCATAGCACGAGATTAACCTGTCTGATATGATGTGATACCTGTCTGATAGCATGACTGTTGTCATATGCTACAGCTGCACCCCTGATTTTCCCTGTAGATAATGACCAGGCTGTGATGAATCAGTTTGGGATCTGTCAAACCCCTCTCAAAAACCTGGATGAGAATGAAAAGCACAGCCAGCACTATTTTCAAACAGCAATGTGATCAAAGTAGTAAGTGTAATTCTCAGGTTGTCCTAAGTACAGCATTAAGCCTGGAATGGGACCTGCAGGTACATGCAGTATGCACAGTATGCAACCTAGAAAATCAAGGTCCTGTAATCAGAAAATAGCTGATATATTGATACTTTCCATTTTCTCATTTATATTGCACCCACACTACCACTCTATAATTACTTACATAACTAATGAGTGAATCGTCTGAAATATATTAAGTAAAAAAGCAAGGTTTATTTCAGTCCACCAGGGAAAGCATCCCAGTCAAAAAAATTATAGGAACTATTCTAAATATCTTCTTATAGCACCACAGAAATTTAATGTAGGAGAGAATCAAACAATTGTTCAGCTGAAAAGAATTTTGGAAGCGAGGATGATTATATTAACTCTCTGAAATAAAACACATCTAAGTGAAACACTCTGGTTTACCATTCCTGTTGTGGATTTTACAGTAGGAAATTTAATGGCCAGTGAGTTGCTAGAAGTGATGAGACATCCTTTCTCTAGCAGCAGGGTCTGGAAACACCAAAGTAACATTTACTGTGGACCAGTGAACATTACTGCCATGGTTCCTTTTGGAGTTTAAATTAACATTTAATATCTTTTTTCCACCAGGTTTTATTTAAACATAAGCAACTTTCTTATGAGATCATCAACCTAATGGAATATTTAACTAGACAAGGTAAGTTAATTAAACATCTTAAGGACATGTTTATTAGCCACTGTCTTTGCCTCAAAGCCTTTCTTCCTCTCATTTCTCTATAGTACATAATGGTCTACTTCTTTCAGGCCAGATAAAGATTTTCTGCATGAGTACAGAAGCCTGATGAGTGTTTTGTAAAAAGGAGTCTTACTCCTCCTCTAGTCTTTACTGAAGTCCTCAGATCCTTGCTTTTAGGAGAAGAGACCTAGTGCACGGGTATCACAGAAGCATAGGTACAGAGTCACGGGGCAAAGACAAAAGCATTACACTGCAATTGAGGAGGATGCATTTTTACAACAGACCTGTTTGATTTTGGAGACAGCTATGCATCCTGTGCCCTGTGTGTGGTCCCTGGTCTGAGTGCCTGGTCATCGGCCACCTGAGAAACGAGGCTGACCAACTGCACCCGGCATACAGAGCAGAAGGACAGTCTGAAGCACTGCAGTCTCAGTCTGTAAGAGTCAGGGGCCCAGGCAAGATTGACAAAATAGACACCGGATAAGTGAGTCTCCCACTGAATGACCTAGACCAGAGAGACCTTTTTTAGCAGCAAAAATTTCTACGGATTAGGTACATGTTTTCCAGGGTGGCCCTAGTCATGGCATGGTAGTTTCACCAGCTCTGGTCACCACAGGGACATGCTGGGGATTTTAGAAAGGGTCACTTGGTAGCTGATGCTAGAAACTGATGAAAACCTTGTTTTAGGGAGTAGCTGGCATCTTGTGGCTGCAGTCCAGAATTACAGAAACATGGCTGCAAAAAAAGGGGGTCCCAGCTGTTCCCATGTCCCAGTCCCAGTGACATAGCAGGGGTTTTTGTTCCCTTTTATTTTAGGAATGAGCCTCATCATGCCCCATATCTTTAAGAGGCAAAAATCTCCTTGTGACTTCCCTGGCACTGCAGGCACTTTGTGCTATGTCCTCCCATTTCGAGACAGATCAAGCTCCATCTTAAACTTATTAAACTCTTCCCCTACAATTCCTTTTCCTCTTGAACTCCACCCTTGATTTATGCCCTTTTATTATTTTACCACCACTAGCTTTCAGCTGAAGTGGCTTGTCTTCCTCCCTACGAATAACTCCCCATCACACACACGCATACGCACACTTTCTGTAGCTACTTTAAGTTCCCCTCAGAAATATTCCATCCTTCTCGAGTCTCCCAACAAGACTTGACAAGGTGACATCATCCAGAGGTAACCAGAGAAGTTAAAGAAAAAGTCTTTAGGAGACTTTTTTTTTTTACTGCTGAAACACACAGCCTTTTTCAGGTCAGTGTAAAAAGCAAAGATCACTTTAAGGAAGTCTTTTACAGTACCTTTTTCTGCACAATGCCGTATTTTAACTGTGGTATGTTATTAAATGTAAAGCTCTGTATTTTCCATTCTTCACTGAAGCAAGAAAGACTAGAGCCAAACAAAAGATTTTTTAATTCCTATTAAAAAAAGAAAGAAAAAAGTTCTCATTTTAAAACCAAATCCAAAACACAGGTATGTTTTCTTGCAGTAATTTGTAGAAAAGAAAGGAGGAGTGTGGAAGGGTAATGACTAACTCATAACTATAACCACCCTTTTCTGCTTTATACATACTGTAAATAGCAACGCTCAGATGAAAAGGAGCAATTTTTTCCTTTTCCTGCAATGTTCCTTCAACTCATAAAGCTGTGTGCTGCTCAGCATAGGAAACTGTTTATGCAGATCGTCTGGGGCACAGTTTCCCACGAAAGCATTACAGAATACTGCCTTAAATTTAACACCTAGAAGATCAACGCCTACTAATGGTTACATTAGGGAGAAAAGAACCCTGAGGGACACAGTATGGAGAAAAGGCAGCCTGTTTCACCTGTCAAAGTTGCTGGTATGAGATAAATGTTACTCGGATGTTTGACTGCTTTATGTCAGATGGTATATCAGCATATGGGAAATTCAGATCCTGGCCCTGAACAACTGGAGACCACTTGCTATTCAGAGATAGCTACACTGAAGAAATTTCATTCATGCTAAAGTAAAGCTGAGTAAATAAGAACAAACTGCTCAGTGTTTGTGTAGTTACTTGGAACTCTTTGATATCTACATGAAATTGGAAGACACCCTCATTATCTTGTCTCTGGGGTTTTTTTTTCCCTCTGTCTGAATAGGAAGGAAAATATTGGAAGTATTTAATGGTTCCATCTCTGCTCTAAATAAGAAAGATAAGCAAGGGAGAAACAGTGATAGGGGAATAATAAATTTGTTCTAAACCACTGTCAATTTAAAGGTCTGGAGTATAAGCACATGAATAACTGACCAGAGGTATTAATGTCATAATACAAGCTTCATTAGTTACAGCTGTTATCTGTGCTTCAAGTGGGCTGATGCATTCCCGCATGCTCTTCTGTATTTTTCTGAATTTTAGACAGGCATCCCTACATTACTTTTTCACCTGGATACCAAATAAGGAATATACTCAGGAATGGATACAGCACAAATTAAGTCGCACACAAACACGCAACCCATTGCAGCTTTGGCTAATGTAACTGAAATAACATCCTCACACATCTATTTGTAGTTACCACCATAGTTAGTCTTACTTTTGCCAGAGAAACATCAATTGCTTTTGATACTACTTGAAGCATGTACAGTGTTGAAAGATCCAGGTTCTTACTAACTTCTCTGGTTGCTTCTTCATCCTCAACATCAACTGAAAGAAAAGAAAAAAAAGATGATATGTTTTGGATGAAAAAAATTGCTTCCCCCAGCAAGCTCAGTGCCAGGTGGTCATCAATATGACAACACTTTCCTGTCATCTGTCTTTATAAAAAAGAAAATACAGTTTTAGCCAGCAAGGACAGATAAAAAATACGTGAGCGAGCCAGTTTGATTACTTCCTAATCTTCTTTACACAGTCTTGGCCAAGAAGCTAGTAGTAAATGCAATTACTCTGAATCAGCTAAGAGTTACAAAAGAAGCGACTCATACATATTTGGTTACAGGTGCTCTGAAGAATATGATGGCAAAAGCCAAACTGAAGCTTGACATAACTTACCTAATTCTAGGACATCTTTCATCTGGTCTTCTCTATAGCAAGTGGATGTTGGAGACTTCCTACAATAAAATTAATCAAAGAATGAATGACAAAATGTTCACTTTTAATGGGAAAAGCTGTCCACGCAAAGGTATCGTTTTTTACCTCTGTATATACATACGTGTGTGTATGTATATGTACAAAGGGGGGTGTCTGTATGGGAGGGGGAGAGAGAGAGAGAGAGGGAGGATAAAAGACGCAAATAGACAAAAAACATATTCAGTGGCTTTCACCTTTAGCTTTTAAAATGTTCTATACAAAGGTGCTCAGTCTCAGTAACATTCCTGTATAAAGAAATAAATAGTGTTAGAGCAAAACCTTTTTCAATGGAAGAAAGCTGAGCTGCAGGAGTTCATCAGGAAAAGCCACCAGCACAGAGCAATACATTGTGATTGATTTCAATCCTGTTCCAACATTCACTTTCATTTAATTTGTGTGATTTCAGTCTATGTCAGGTCCTGCAAGCTCAAATACAAGGACAGATTTTATACTGCCCTGAATTTCAAGTGAGGATATTCACATCTGTGTGACTGCCTCTGAGTTCAAAGGATCAGGACATCAAATAATGGCGATCAGGATGAGATTCAAGTTAGTCATTAAACTACTTGAAATATGCAAATAGGTGGGGAAAGGTATTAGACCGACTTCCTTTACCAGGGTAATTTTTTAATCCACTAATAGGTAGCAGTTGTCCAAACGCCCTTGTGATTTAATTGTATATTACATAAATAGTAGGTAAAAAACTCTGTCCTGGTTTCAGCCAGGATGAAGCTGGTTTTCTTCGCAGAGGCTGGTGCGGGACTGTGTTTTGGATTTGGGATGAGAAGCTGTTGATAGTGTGCTGATGTTTTGGGTCGCTCCTGAGCAGCCAAGGACAGTCCAGCTTCTTGTGCTGGCCTTCCAGCGAGTAGGCTGGGGGTGCACGGGGAGCTGGGAGGGGACACAGCCGGGACAGCTGACCCAGACTGGCCAAAGAGATATTCCCTACCATACGACGTCATGCCCAGTACATAAACTGGAGTTGGCCGGGGGGCGGAAATCGCTGCTCGGGGACGGGCTGTCGATCACGGGGTGGTGAGCAATTGCTGTATTGGGCATCACTTGTTCTTGTACATTCCTTTGTTGGTATTATCATTGTTGTTCCCTTCTTTCTTTCTGTCCTATTAAACCGTGTTTATCTCAACCCACGAGGTTTTTTTTTCCCAATTCTCTTCCCCGTCCCACTGTGGGAGGGGGAGTGAGTGAGCGGCTGCGTGGTGCTCAGTTGCCGGCTGGGGCTAAACCACGACAAACTCATATAAACAACTACTAAAAGGACTAAGCATTTAAACTTGGATATGAAGTCAGAACTTAAGTAGAATGTTAAATTTTTGGAAATGAGATGGGTTTATTCTTCCTATTGAATTCGTACCAAAATGAATTCAGAACCAAGGAAAAGTTTCAACTAACAACTGTAAAAAGATGGTCTTTTTTTTTTTTTCAAAAGAGCAATACTGCATCATTGGCCTTTGCTTTGGAAAAAAGGTATTACCCTGACAGTCCTTGCAAAAATAGTATGGAATAATTTCCTCAGCAACATTCTTTGTATGCATGACATTATTATAGCAACAACTGCTGTCATATCACATACTTTCCATTAACTTAATTTCCTTTTTCAGTGTGTGAAAGATGAATAAAACCAGAACAAAGACATATCACACTGAGGACTTTTCCAGTTTGAAAGATTTTGGCACCTTTCTCACTGATAGTGTTTGATACTACAAGAAAAGAAACACTTTTCTCTTTCTCTGTAAACAAGTTAAAGGATTTATGCAATGAAATGTGGATGGCCACAATTCAGAAAACATAGAATGGAAATGAATCACCCAAGTTTCCACGTTCCATGTTCACCTGGAAACATCCCAAGTCAGGCTGGACGGGGCTCTGAGCAACCTGATCTAGTTGAAGATGTCCCTGCTCACTGCAGAGGGGTTGGACTAGATGGCCTTTAGGTAGGTAAACCAACCCAAACTATGCTATGATTCTATGATTCTATATTACAAGGGACTTGAGGTAAAAATAAATACTATGCCCAGCAGGTCAGTATGAATAGGAGGACTGAGAGCAAATTTGTATAGTGGCATAAGTAGTATTGAGCTCTCACTGAATATAACAGTACTTTTATTGTGATACAGAGTTTAATTTAGCTAACTGTAGTATATTTTAAAACACAATTCAGACCACCCCTTGCTTTTCGCTAATATGGAATTTCATCTGAGATGTCTTTCTGCGAGCTACTCACTAGTATTTTCATCTGTCCTGGGCAGGGAAAGGTTCTCAATGACACTAAATTTGCCAATAAAATGTTTTTCAGCCAAGTACTCATGTCACCCAACCGCACTTAGATGTAACGAAAATCCACATTTTTGTTTTTTCTGAGATTGCACAATGTTGTCTCTTGTTTCCTACAGAATAATGTATTTCTTCCCAGGTCAACCCATTTCAATCTAGTTTTGCAAAAACACAGCTGCTAAGAGTTGAAAATGCAGCACTACAGGTTGCAGCATCCTATCCGGCCTCACCTGCTGCTTCAGAAGGGCTTGGGTCTCCTACAGGTACTGTATGATAACTCCCAGCTTCATTACATGTCTTGGATATCACAGAGTCTCAAATAGCACTATATGCCTATGTTTAAGTACATAGATCACTCCCTACATCAAATTAGCACCCTTGATTCATTGTTGTCCCAAACATTTCTCCTCAGTACTGTTTCATCTGAAAAGATCTATAAATGAAAATAAAGTCAGCTATGGTACAATTCATATATAGTTCACCTGGCACCAGTTTTTGTAACATTACTGGTTTCTGGAAAGTCTAAAAGACTTTGGTTCTACACCCATTCCAGGAAGAACCAAGCCCGGTATGCAAAGTGCTTTGAGTTCTCAAGGCACAAGGAAATTCCTATCAAGCTGAGGAAAGTGCTGACATCAAAGATTGATGCAGGGTGTTCTCTGGTTAAGTGGGGTATTTTTGCAGGTGTAAGTTCCCTCCTTAAGGGGAACTTGCGTTTCTCAGAACACTGTCAGGACATTTATTGCAATTTCCATTTCAGCAGATGATTACTGTTCCAGGAAAATTCATTGTACACGCAAAACCATACAGTTAGAATACTTAGGAAGGGGGAAGTCATCTATCATGGCAGAAAAATGGGACAGGAAGAAAATATGTTTCATTATAAACAAACTATACAGTACTTTCCCTAAATATTTGAACATTCCTATCTGATCTTCATGCATTGCAGAAAACTGAATTTACGCAGAATAGCTGAAGTCAGAGAGAAAGCACTTCTCAGCACAATAATGCATGTACATTCCACTGTTTCCTATTTATACTACCATACACAAGAGGTCAAATAAACAAAGGGTCTTAAAAATTAAACACAGATCAGCAGTGGCTTTAAGGGGACTGTGTTGGTAAAACTTACTTTCACTGCCTGATTACCACAGTTTTTCTACTGGACTTTTCTGCATAATGATTTAGTGTCAGAAGGATGCCTAGAAGTCACAATGAAGTCCTACCATCTTGTGCTGTTATGCCATATACAGACATATACGGCATTCTTGATACACTGAGTAAGATCTGGAAAGTAGGTAAGAAAAAAATTAGACTCTGTTACTATTTTACTATTGCAAAAGAGTAAACAAGGCCATTATATGTGATGCACCTTGCCACTGCTTTGGGGCAAAGTTATAAAAATGGAATTATTAAAAGCTGTTGTAAAGATGCAAAGGAAATTATCATAATCAATACCAGGAAATATATTTATATGGGAAAAAGACCTTGTCAAGAAGATTTAATATAAATTCTGCCATGCTTGTAAGTCTGGTTGACAAAGGTAACAGAACTCATACACTTAGTTTCTCCAAACTTCCTTTTTAGTTAAGCACTGCATCTGATTTGATTGGGCTGTTTGCATTATGAAAAATTAATTCATAAACAGATGGCTCACTACAAATATAAAAAAAAGTAAATGAAAAAAATTGTCATTGAAAGGGTCATTTTAAATCAACTCACACACGAATCTGCTTTTGTCGTGCTGATTTTTAATGATTGTATGACAATTCAGGAGAAAACAGCATCTTTGCTGGGAAGGTTTGCATATGAAAAAAATATGATTATAATCAGAAGTTGAGCTACAAGATGGTTTGAACTGCGTGATGAGTTGGGCTCACCCGAACAGAATGCTCCGTCATAGGTAATGAATGAATATTTATCTCCAGCTATAAAACCAGACCTACTATAATAAAAGTTTAGCTCCTTTAGTCATACTGTACTTTATCAAAGATTTTTCAGTGCAACACCCCAACATCTGGGATTTTCAAAGAGCACAGTACCACTCGTGTGAACTGACCATTACATTCAGCAACTCGGAACAGTTGTCAGCAAAATAAACAAGTATCAGTAAAATAAAACAGCTAAAATTCCATTAAAGATGCTTACAAGAGACCAGTTAAGAGACACTACGTAAAGCATTGAGAAGGGTTCCCAGACTTCAACACTCAATCAGTTCACATCAGTGGAGGTGAATACAACCCTCCATTCTCTTTGTCATATATAAAGTACCCACTCTCTCTGGTTTTGGCCTTCAACTTTCAGGCCATTTATTTTTAAGGATGTGGAGTTTTTGTGGCCTTACGTGTCCTGTCAGAAACCTCAGATTTTTAACAGTCCAAACCACTGTAACCTGACAGGTTGGACAGGGCTCTGAGCAACCTGATCTAGCTGAAGATGTCCCTGCTCATTGCAGGGGAGTTGGACTAGATGACCTTTAAAGATCCTTTCCAACACTAACTATTCTATTATTATATTTTATGATTCTATGACAGATTTTAGCAAAATTAATTATCTTTCTGAACGCTAATATCAAATGTCAAATTGGAAGAAGACAAGAGCTTACATGAGGAGTGGGCTAATTTTCTTATTTTATTATGAAAAAAGGTGAACACAGGTAACAGCCTATTGGTGAGCACACGGAGCGCAG